TTTATATGCATTAAAGACTTGAGTAAGAAAGATCTCCATTCTACATTACATAAATTAGTTAACTTTACTCCATCATGTGTCTCAATATAAACATGTACAGAGACACACGCGAATGAGTAAAACGAGAAGGGTTAGAGGTTGATGATGAATACTGGATACTAAAAGGGAGGAGAAACACTCTAGAGATTCAGTAGGGGGTAAATAGTACAAAAAACGGTAAATAGGGTGGCTAAAGTACGCTGCTGGCCACTATGAATATGGCTGTGGTACTTGGCAGAGGTTGGCACTCCCTTTTATTCTTCGGGTATTTTTTACAGTATAGATTTACCTCCACGGCTTTTATATCCACCCGAAAGAAGAAGAAAAAACGAGAGAGTACATTAGGACATCATCTCTAGAGATTGTGAGAAAAACTTTTCTATTGGAATGATGGAAAGCCGCATCTTTTGGCGGCTTATTCTTACAATCATTAAGCCAAATCGTCATTGTGGGACATGTTAGATCGTTTTCTCCATGGTACTTACACCTACTTACCAAGTTTGAGGGATTCTTAATATAAAACAACTAATCTCCTTCTTTTAATACTGAAATGATAAAAATATTTAAAGGCATTTCATCGTAAAAGAGCGGTAGAAAATGCATGAAAGACTCTGGTCTACATAAAATGCATCGTACAGTAGACCGCGGCATGGATCAGAGGCCATAGGGATCTTCTCGGATGTTTTCAATTACATCGCATCTTTTTTTCCTTTTCTAGACCGGTGTCTGATTACACCGAGATGTCGGGTGGCGCGTTGCCGCCGTGTGCACTTGCGCCCGTTTATATCCTCCGTCGTCGAGACTCGGTGAACCCTGAAATTGGAGAATAATATAAAAATTCGTCAGGCGCCGTGACTTTTATCATCATTTATTTCTTTGATTCATCGTTAAATAGGCATATATTATCGTCAGATGTGGATTACTTGGGAAGGTTTGTGTTTGTATCATTAATTGGATTTGTGTTGGAGCAAGATATTTATTGAAGGCGAGATAAAATATTGATAAATATGTTTGGATAAGAACATGATTGAGAGGAATATGGTAGAAAAGTGGTTTAATCACATAGAGATATTAATGAGAGACTGAAAAGTTAATGATGATTAAAAGTTTTTTTTTAAATAAGATGAAGAGTAGATACACTTTTTTTTGTCCTTTTGTGCATTTTAACAATCAAAGTAAAACTTGGAGTTGACAGAATCAAATTATAGCTTGAAGAAAAAAAATTTATTTGCATAAGTTTGAGTTTTTAACTATCATAAAATTACTTTGAAATTAGTTAAAAAATAAATTTATATTAATTTTTAATAGCCATTTTTTAGTGTAACGTATTAATTTTTTTTTAATATTTTTTAAAAACAGTTATATTACAGGTATTATTACCTCTATCATGCAATAAATAACTAATTTATTATGTCTAATTAATCAGTGTACATTTTTTAAATAATTTTAGACATTTCTCTTTTACTTTTTTAAAAAATCCAATTTTGTGACAAGTATTTTTTTTCAAATCTATTTTTTTATAAAATCGTATCCTTTTCTGTTTATAATATTATTATATCAACACAAGATTTAATTAATTTAATCTTTTAAATTTTATTATATTTTAAATCCAACTTAAATCAAAGTTGAAATAATTTTTATATTAATAAAAAAATTCATAAAATAATTTTTATCAGTAATACTTTGTCTCTTTATTTATAGAAAGATGATCAATGTTTTTAATGAAGTTCTAGATGGAAAAATGAGGAAAATACATGTTCATTAGTAGAAATAAGTAGAAATAATTGAGTAAGAGAAAATAAAAAAAAAATTTATAACAAATAATTTGAGAAATAAAAATGATGCTCTACTCATGATGGTGATGAGAATACTGATTAACACATATTTTCCATCACTTGAGAAATTTCAAGTGTAAAAAAAAACTCGTTACAATAGTAATTTAGAGTAAAAAAAAAAGGCAATAGAAATGAAAGTGAGAAATACTCAAAGCTTTTGAAAAACAACAGCAACACTTTGCTTCCATAAAAAAAAACAGACCAATTAAATTTTTACTCTGAAAGTCACACATCTCTCACTTTATTTCAATATTCTTTTATCAACGTTCTAATTGACACCTTTTTTTCGAAATTTATTACAAAGGAAAATTCTTAAAAGTAGTAAGTTTTATCAATTGTAGAATTTTAGTGAAATTAAATAAGTATTTTAGTATGCACAGCAAAAGAAGGTTAAGTCAATAATTTATAGCCATTTGATTAATTGCTCAGAACTCTGTAATTGTCTTTCTTTTTGCTTAATCTTTACTTCTCTCTTATTTTCAACTCATTCATCTTCTTCGTATGGGTCTAGGTATTACTTTCATCGACCCACTGAATTCCTCAGCGAAATGGAGCGAGTGATACGAGAAAAGTTTTCGTGTCAAAAGAGCGAGTGAGACACAAAGTTGAGTAAACTCAAATACCCAAGGGACACTCCAGCAACTTTTCTATAACATCCTGCCAGTTTAGACTTTGTTGTCATTGGTAAGTAGGTGCGTTTTAGTCAATATTTAAATTATGTTTATGCTGTTTTGTCAATATGTAAAATTACAAAAACAATGTTGATCTTTGATAGTGGATTTCATGAGATAAGGAGCCATTTTTTTTTGGAGTAATGAAGAAATTTTGGTGTATTTCCATGATGCTTCTCCATCAATGGTAAGTCTATTCCAACTAATAATAATTTTAATTTTTTTTGAAATTTACATTTATTCATGTGGATAATTGAAAATGATTTTATGAAGTCTTGTGGTGGAAATTATGATGATAAATTTCCTTGAAAAAAAATGAAAAATTCATGAGAATGTTAATTGAATAAATAGCAGAGTAAATATGTTCAAAAAAGCTGAGATCACACACCAGAGAACAAGTGAAAGACCACAAAAGAAAGAGAATAAGAACTAGGTACACATCAAGTAATCGTAGATTAATTGGAACCACCTGTTTCATCTAGACTCTACACAAGGTACTTTGTATAGTGTGCAAAAAATATCTTACCCTGTGGTCTAGAATTAATTAAATCTGAATAATCATTAAGAAAATAAAAATTTGTTTATGATTAAATGTGCTAGGGCTAACAGTTTACCTTGGATTATCAATCTCTTCTGATGAAAATTATTGCTCCAAAATGAATAAACTACCTAGTTAATTAAAAATAAATCTTTTCTTTGTTTAAAAGTACAAATTGAAAATAAATAAAGAATAAAAAATATATTCAAAATGAAGATAGAAATAAAATTTGAAGGAATATTAGGGTGAATAGTCGGCAAAATAATCAAATACCCAAAATCATTAAAAATAATTTTCTCACTTATTCACCAAATAATCTCGAAGGATAAAATAATCACAATAGCAAGCTCTAGTGAATTGATGCAGACGATTAATTCACGTGGAAAGAGAATGTGAAGTAAAAGATGAACCCGATACAATGGCGACTGAATAACACGCAAGAGTCTGATCCTAAAACCTGTATTGCGGTTCGAATCACACCAATATGTAAGAGCTGGGGGCTTCTCCCTTTTTCACACCGTTTTATAGTTTAACAATCGCCGGAATATATACTTTAACTGTTGTGTGTATATACATCTATGGATACATCCTTTTTACGCCGATTAGATTTGTGGAGAAATCTTGAAATCAATTGGAAGCACATGTGTAGGTCGCAGGGTTTGGATTATTCCTCATGTGCAAAGCATATAAGCCGATCGAAGTTGTAATTCTTGTACTAACATAAATATAAAATTCAAGAGAACACAAACTGTTTGTACATTATGTAATTGCTACGAAAGTTCCGTCGCTTGCAAGTGTAAAACAGTGCTTTCATTGATGCGTTATTAATTTGACTTTACTAGAGTTTAAAATAGCTTAATAAATCTTTCATGATAGTCTGAATATTATAATGGATTAACAAAAATCATTTATCTAAATCAGATCATTGATACTCTAATAATAATTAATAACCATTACGTACATCGATAAACATTAAAATACTATTCTATTAAATTTTTTTTAATATTTTTAACAAAATCATTTCATCCCAAATAGGTTAATTGATAATGAATTAAATTAATCTAAAAAAATAGTTGGCAAAATTTTTGGAGTAATTAATAAAAAGCTTTTTTGTCATGGAAGAGTTTTATAATAAAATAATTTAAAATGTAAACTTAATTGTTTCTTTAAATGATAAATATATTTTTGTGTTCCTGATTGATTTTTTAGCCAAACTATCATCGAAATGAATGAAATTGAAACACTGAAAAGATGCCAACTAAAAGTCCTGATAAATAAATTCAAAAATGTTGCAACAAATTTTAAAAAAAAATTAAAAAGCGTTTGAAAAAACAAGTATATTATTTAGATTGAATCCTAAAGAAAGATGAAAGGATTAAAATTGGTATATCTGAAGGAAGCGATAAACGATGTGGGAATGTTGAAAGGTGGTGATAAAGTATGATTACAAGTCGGCGATAAATAATAAGCATAAAGACTAAAATGATAATAATGAAAGCAGAATAAATATGTAAATATTACCTGGAGTAATGCAAAAAGTAGTACTGTGGCGATTGGATCCGGCGGGTCGCGTCGACATTGCGGATAACGTAAAAGTGGCGTCGCGACGCTAAGCGTCGTTGGCGCAAGCGGCGCAAGTTCGCGACGTCGCGGTGGACAGTTGAACAATGGCGTCGGGGGGTTCCCACCAACGGCACGCGAGTCACGCCCACAATGGAATGCCGCACCCCTGTTATACACAGTAGGGTGTAAGGATGTCTGATGACGAGATCCTTTCCCCAGGTCCCCACTATGACCTACTGGCTGAGAGCAACGCCCATTTGGCTCTAGAATCAAACGAGTTTGTGAGCAATGAGCCCCTGGTTGCTTCAGCAGCAAGAGAAGGAGCTTGAAAGAGAGAAAGAGAACAAGACAACGAAGCTGAAGGTCCACAGAGTGGGAGACTCGAGATGACGACGCCGAAATCCCGACGAGGGATCCTCGCGTGAAGGAAAGGCAGACTCTGGTGGTCAATCGGGCGCCGCGCACCGCAGTAGCGACGCGTCACTGCACCCCCGTTTAGTTGCACGTGCTCCATCGCACCGTCGCTTATCGCCCAACCAGGCGCAATAAACGACAAATATATTCCTCATCATCGGTCGTACGGATCACTTGGTCATCATACTTTGTCATCAGGATAAAGTTCGACTCTGGTTACTCGAACCGATGCACTTGAAGTGACAGGAAAAATCGACATTTTTCATAAGAAAGAAGAAATCGGTAATTATACACCAAGTACACAGTGATTGCTCTATAACCGTCGGCTAAAAGTGGTGATTTGTCAAACACTCGAGTTGTTATTGCTCCTCAAGTACTGTATTATTACAATCTCCAAGTCATTGGACGGTGCTATCAGTGCTTATTTCTATTGGTGCGAATTATTTTATAACTCATTTACTACAACGTGCATTCTCTGGTTTACCTATCTACACTTGTTGAGTAAATGTACCACCAGGAATCATATTAACCGTTTTACAACATCAACTAATCATTTAAATAAACTATTTAAAGTGTTAATCTGGAATCAGTTGCAATAGTTATCCTTTTCTCTGGTGTCAGGACCCGGCCTGATCACGGCCATTCTCGACACGGTATGTATTTCTTTCGATCACTAATTAATTCAGAAAAAAATCCCTATTGACTGAATGTACATCAACTTTCATTGAACAGATTGTTAGAAATGGCCCATAAAAAATGTAGCTGATGAGAAATTTATGGCTTTTCTATCTATTCTATTTGAGATCTTTTGTTGAGTAACTTTATTCAAGATTCTTTCTCTTTCTCTCTGTATATATATATATACTTATGGAGAAGAGTTAATGTCTGAAAACCGCAAGGTAGAGTATGTTTCGGCTATATGGATAACGGATCTTGTATCCGACTACAACGGGATAATACGGGTAAATCGGATCTTTGGGTTTGTGTATAGGGATTGCTTGTAGTAAGGGTAGGTTTCAATTTACCGGATTTTAAAAGCAATTGTGTCAATTGTACACTTAAAATACAGGTTGACAGCTGCAATTAAATGTATACTTTGCTTCATTTTAATTAGCACTTGAGATCAAAGTATTCAATAATTGACAGACAAAAATTAAATGTCGAAGAAAAAAGTGGGATTTTTGGATAACTTATTTCTCAGTGTAGATATTTGTTTCTTCATTCTACAATGAAAATATGCACACTGTTAAATACATTTTTATATTATTTACAAAACGTGTTAGAGATACAATATAATAAACACACATACACACACACTAATGTGTAGCTTAAATTGTTTATTATGTTAAGTTTAACTGGAGTAATCTTGCTGTAAGGATCACATTGTAGATATATTAAAGTCTCCAAAGAATTCTGTCTTATATTTATCCCAAGTTAATGCTATCATCAACAAAATGATTTGTGAAAAGTTTCAAGATGAATCTGTATGGCGTAATGGTATAGTAAAGGGGATTAAAAAATACCTCTGACTTAGTGAAAGCAAAACTCGTTAGCGCCCAGTAAAACTCATTACTTTTTTATTTTTACCGCACTATTCACAGCATTACAGTGAGCTACAAGCAAGACTCTATGAGTAGGGAAGGAAAAATCTTGCAAACTGAACGGTGTACGCTTAACTCTTTAGGATTACGATGTAGTTATGATCATTATTTTCTATGAAAAGAGTGTTTTTTTTAATCATACTTTTGATTTTAATACTTCAAAGTCGACCGACGGCCCGCTTCTAGCATGTAAAAAGAGTCTAAAGAGTGCAATAACAACAGAATGTGTATAATTAAAAGGGTTTAATATAATACCGATTTTGTTTAAGTCTTATAAGTAATAGATTCTGTTGAATGCGATTATTTACATGTTATTTAAACGTTGGAGGTTATTGTGTGATGACAATAAGTACCTTTTTAACACACATGTATTCATAAATAATAAATTACAATTAATTCTTTGGAATATTTTCTATTTGAAGTTGGAAAAAAATTCATTTATTGTTATGTGAGAAAATAATTTGGAGATTTTGATGATTAATTTATTTACATTTAATGAAAATAATGAAATAGTAAAGTATAGATAAAACTTTTTTTTTAATAATGTTTAATGAAATATATAATATCTAGATGGTTGTAATTTAATTGAAGTTGTTGTTGTATCACGTAATTTTAATATCAAAATTATCAATACTATTTTATAAATAATAAAGCAAAGGACATTATTTAAATTCAACTTGATTCATTTAGTATTTAAAACAATATAAATAAAATAAATTTGGGGAAAAGAGTAAAATGAGGTATTTTTAATAATTCACATGATAAATTAGTAAAAATACTTACAATAATTGATGTGAAAAAAACTGCAAGCTTTTAGACAGTTGACTTCAATCATATATTGAAGATAAATAGTAGACTTATTATTATTATTATTATTATAGAAAGGAAGTGAATAAAAGAGCAACAAATAATTCTATCGCTTTTTCTATATTATTATGAAAATACCCGCATGTAGAAAACATATTATTTCCACTACATGACTGTCGGTATACAAGCGCGAATGTAATTAAATGACCAAAATAAACATGTTGAGTACACAAGAGTATTATTTTAGTTGTTTTGTACATATTTTTAATCTCTCAAAGTGACTTTATTAATAATGTTTTGATTTACAGCAGTGTGTTAGCGTGGCCGGAGGCGGCGGGGGTGTCTCGGGTGCCGGAAGTGACGGCGTCTCAGATTACCCGCCGAGCGCTGCGGCTGTTCGGAGCAGAGAAGCGGCCGCGGCGGCACTGCACGCGGCAAGAACGTTGTTGGGCGCGGGGGTGGCTAACCCTTGCTCGTCCACCCCCGAGCCATCCTTCTGGAAGATGCCACACAAAGGTCAGTTGACATCAGACCCCCTTTGTCTGGGGAATCATTTATTTTATTTTCTCGGGATTTTATTTTTTTTTCTTTTTGGATTCACCGTTATCACTTGTGCATCTAAATGATGATGGGAAAAAATTCGATGACATATACATACATAATAGGAACGGTCGAAATTCAAACGCGTTATAAATTCGTTTACGGCCGTTGAAGCGGACAATCACGGATGTGACACGGGGGGTGGGATAAAATAAATTCACGCTCGATTCGATAACGATGATAGAAATGATCGTGCGAGTGTCACGGGGATTTGATAAATAAATCCAATGCTTGTTTGGCTCGTTGGGAAATGTACAACAACCAATAAATATATTCCAACAAGAGAAATACACTGCAATATCAGTAGATTAATTGTGCGCTGATAAATGTACAACGTAATTTGATTTTTAATAAATACACAAATCTATGATGTACACTTAATAGACAAAAGTTTGTAAAAATTTTTATTTTTCTGTTGTACATTGTCTCTATGAAGCTTTCATTTTTTTTTATCGCATAAGGAAATTCTGCTTTCAAAATATTTGCACACACGGTATAATAATTCAATAATTTTTATTATACAAACTGTTGTATGTATATTGTTAAAAAAATTATTTGAGCATAAAAAATCTTTGCCAAGTGATAGAAACCGTCATCAGATCCTCCTGAACTTTTTTAAAAATTTACAGAACAAATTTTAAAAAAAGGATGGGCATATTTCTGATTACAATTATTTTGTCACCATCATAGATGTAGATATACATTTATTTGTCTAGAAAATTACAATATTCTTAGAAACTGTCGAAAAGTAATATATAATTCAATTATAGCGATGCTTTTCTCTCAAGATAGTTGGCTAATAGTAATTGAAAAAATTTTAATAGATAAAAAGTTACCCTGACATTTGAGATAATCTAAAAACACCTCAGAGTAGTGATAATAATTATTCCTAAAGAGAATAAAAATTATGTTAAGTTGGTTAAATTTTGTTCTTTTTAGAAGCATAGTATTTTACCTCAAATAGGAACATTTTTATTACAATTCTGGTGTGTTCCTTGGTTATTCCAAATGTAAGAGTAAATGTTCCTCAATGTTTTCAATCTAGCACTTAGGTTCACTTTGATATCTATAGTCTTGCTACTACAACAATACTTTGTTTATTCACACGATTGAAATAGTTGTGGCTAGATAGTTATAATAACAATTCAGATAATTAGAGTCGACATAGCAATTGCCGAGATAGCAATCTACTTTAGCTATACTTTAGACTATTTCTAAGCCGATAAATTTTTTTTAGTGTATTATTCAACATTTCTTGTTGACTGAAGAATTATTAAACATCATTTATTCATAATTAATTCAACTATCTATTAAAGGATAATTATTTTCCACAATCACACTCTAAACATAATAGTTGAGTCTCATAGTTGGATTTACAATCCTTTGTCAATTTCTCATTTAAAAGGAAATAGTTGAGTCCTTTTCGAAATATTAGTAGTAAATCCAACTATATATTTCTCTCTATGCAGTTTTTATTTTTTAACTATTAATTAAAAACAGAGTATTTTATAATTCAAAGATCTTTTGATTGTTACATTATTTCACCTTAATTCTTCTATAAAATCATTCACTCAATTATTTAATTTTGAATCAATAAAAAACATTTACTCCATTGCAAGAATGAATTCCAAAAAAAAAAAATTGATTTAAAACTGCAAAATAAAATTAAAAAAAAAAAGATCATGTTCTAAACAGCATAATAAAATCAGGCCAAAACGTGTTTAGCTTCTAAAAATGAAAGAATAAGCAAAAAAAAAATATGACAGCACGTCGAAATGATCTGAGTATCGTTACAGAATCCTTTGCACTTTGATGAGAATGCTTCTGACGGATTTTTCGAGTTGGTCTGGACGTTCTTTAACACACGGGGGGTCTACGCGGGTTCTTCGAAACGGCAGGGAGTCGTTCATCTCGATAGTATGCAAAAGGCTCACTTCTCAAAAAAATCTAACCAGGGGATCCTTCGGTAGCAAAGCGACACGATAAGCGTTCGTGCCATGCTTATAAATATTCTCTCACTCATCCAACCCACTAACGAGAAAACTCGACCGAAAAATCGGGCTTTGGTTAATACTGTAATCTAGTCGATTAAAGGTGCTTTCAAAACCTCATAAAGAATTCAGAATATGCTAATTTCATCGGTTCTATATAAAAACAGGCTGTTTCATTCAGGAAGTATAACTATACAGTGGGAACAAGCCAAGGAGAAAAATTTAATGCCTGGCTTATGTAGTTCGTTCCAATCTATTATCACACATTAATTTTAATATTCATTCTATGGGTTGCATAATTAATACGTTAATAAATATATATGAATAAACTAGTAGAAAATTTATGAAAAAATAGACCTACAGTTTACAGAATATACTGAGATACATAAATAGCGTCAAATTAGCTTGAATTATTAATTAAAACAACGCTGATTAATTTTATTTAACTATTTACATTTGTTCCATGTTTGATTGAATACATCAAGCAAATTTCATATCAAGTCATTTCAATATTTATCACCATTTATCAATCACACTGATAAGTATTTCAATATCTTTGACTATATTTCAATATCATATTTAGAATTATAAAATTGGTTGAACTTGAAATGACTTCTATTTTACTTTGAATTAAATTTTTTCATAAAATAATCAACTTTTATAGCTGAAAGAAATTATTAAGCTTTTTTTTTATCAGCTTTGAATTTCAAAATAAACATTTTACAATTTGTTATATCAAAAGATGTATTTTTTTAATTTACACTTACAAGTAAACTATTTTATTTTAACTTAAAAAAGTAATTATTAAAAAGATTTCTTTTATAAAAATATTTTAGCTTCTTTGAAAAGATTGAATGAATTGATGTAATGCCAGTAATAAATATCAAAGGCATAAAATTCAAAGCAGAAACATGAAAATTAATTACTATAAAAAATATTTGAAAGTTCAATATAATTTTTTATCAAACAAATTTAATTATAGTGTTTACGAGTAAATTTAATTACTGTTTATAAATAAAATAATGATTGGTATTATTTGTATAAAACAATGATGTTTTTGAATTAAATAATAAATACGGATTTAAAGCCGATGAGCAATCGTGAAAGTGTAAAGATACGCAAGGTATTCGCGTGAAATCAGTTTGAGAGATTAAGATATCAATGTTCTAGACTCCACAACACTCTGTAGGGCTTGGAATAGTGCATTGCAGTTGGCAGAGGTTTGTTTGTAACCCTATATGTTATTGCTTGGCTTCTGTCGGGGCAACAGCCCCTCATATATAGCATTGCAAACCAAGGGTAATACGTTTTATTCTTACTTAAATCATCTACTCAGCCACGTTCAACCTCTAAGTCACGCTACGTAGACCAGTGATTTCTTGGTGTCAAGTTTTATCTAGTGTTAAGCTGTAGGTACCATGCGGTTAATTATTTTATGTCAAGCTTGAACTCATAAAAATTAGCTACATTTAGGTTTTTCAAAGACTCATAAACCAAAACTTTTTTACTAAAAATATCTTTTAATTGATTCAAGTAAAATTTTATTGTATCTAGAAATTAAAAAAAAAATGAAACCAATTTGCAAATGGTTTTACAATTGAAGTGTTCAAGTACTTGAGATATGAAGGAAAGCATTAACTTGAAAGTTTTATTTTGACATTTTGTGTTCAATGTTTTCCCCAATGTATTTGCACTCAACATATCGACATTCAAAAAAAAAACCTGTGCTCCTGAAAGCCCTTTTTCTGCTCGAGACTCCAATTTCAACGACAATATTATTAGCCTAGTTTCTCTCTGAGTTTAGCAAAAAATCTGAGCACCCTTCTTGCATCCAAGGCTCCAATTCTATCTTTAAATTTCATCAATTTTAACAAACAACCTGAGAAGGGTTTTAAAAAAAAAAACTTGGAACACAATTTATGCATTTTTTTATCCATTAATTTCCTAACAAAAGTTGATATCATGTCAAAAAAAAATTCTACTTCATCTCAAAATACTTTTATTAATTCCTTTCCAATTAGAATGTTTGAGTTTTGCTGTAAAATAATAGATTTTCATGAACAAAAAAAAACATTCAAGCTGATGTTTAAAGTTATATTTTTCTTTAACTGAATTTTTTTTCTTTTAAAGATGAATTAAAAGCAATTTGAAAATTCGTTTGACAAAAAATCAGACAACTTTATCAATCTTAATTCCTAACTTGTAGATTCTCTCGGATGACATAAGTAACTTGATTAGATTAATCCTAAAATCCTCGAAGCTATTGCTCAGGTATTAATGAAAAATCATGAATTCTAATCAACTTTATCTACTTATGAGAATAGATGTTTGCACAAGTTGTATTCGTCACTTGAGGGTGCACCATTTTACTCAAATCGTGGTTCAACTCATTAGAGAACGTGCCACATGGCATCTTTGATGTCTTGTAGCGTGAAATGAAACTATCTTGCCTCTGGGTGTGTCTATCACTCTTTCTCCTCTGCACTCACAAGTTTACCTTGTGATAAAACCCCTGTTGAACCCTTTTCCCACACGACGCTTCCATCGTCTCTACTTCTTCACTTGTCAAACGTTTTCACTCTTTACTCAACGTTTATTAATTGATGGAAGCGAAATCTCTTCTGGGCTTTAAAAATAACTTGACACCTTCTAAAACTAACAGATTAGCTTTATTTCCTTTTTCTACGTGTGTTTATGGAGTGTACATCTTTTTTAAATTACTTTAATTTTGTTATAAAAAAAAAAAAAAAAATTCCTCAGTAAACAATATTTTTACAATAATTATTTTATTTTTTAGAATGTTTAAATATTTTTTTGTGCAATAGAAAACATTTTTATTAAATTTCATTGGTAAAAGGGTTCAAATGAGATTTTACTCCAATTTCATACTGTAGTATTGAAAATTTTTATCATTTTCTTTTTTAT